TCTCATCTCAACCAACTTAATTTTGCACTACTTCATCTGAAATTTAGAATTTTGTGGCATATAGGTCTACATGTATTCCTACCTCTCTTGCATCCTTTATGCTACAATTTCAAATGTATTGCATTTGTATAAATCAAACATCCTAGAAGATACTATATTTGGCGTAATTATTCATACACATTTTAAAGAAATTAAGAGGAAAATTACTTATATTTAGCTAGATATTTGGCATTTCTTTCATTCCTTCCTTCCTGATGAACCATATAGTAGATTTATTTTCATTGTTGAATTATATTCCATTGTGTTAATATACTACAATTAATTGCCCAGTCTGCGTACATCTAATATATTTCTGGAATTTTTATTATTTGTGCTATTAATGGCAATAATTAATTGTTATATTTATAGTTGGTTGTCATTTTAATGGTAATAAATGAAATATAGTTGTGATTTTAAGTTGTATTTTTCTGTTACTCTAAGGTCAGAATCTTAGATTTATTGGCCATTCATGTTTTATCTTGAGTGAAAAGGCATTTTGTATCTTTTTCCATTTTTTTGCATTAGTCTTCTTTATATATGTATGGTCTTTTTCTTTATATACCTTTGTTTTGAAAACAAAAGATGCATCCTGGATGCTTTTAAAACAAAATTCTTGAGTCAAAGGAATCTCTGAGATAAAAGTTTATTGAGCCATTTTAAAATATTAGACAAGTTGGGAGAGAAGGTCCTGGGACAAGTTCCTGCAACTGCCAGCATCAAGATTAGGTAGCAGTTGGAAATCGTCTCCCATATCAGAGGAAAGAATACTTTTTCACAGTGAAAATCTGGGGAGGAAAGCAGATGTTGTTTTCATTGAACCTATACTGGCTAGAGAACAGAGAGATGAAATTATGCAGAGTAGTTAAAGCTTTGGGATAGGAGGACATTTCTGAAGTAATCATTGCGTCTGGGTTATGAGGTTGCAAGGAGGCTATTTTGGTGCCTAGGGAGTTGTTATAGGATATAGATTAGAAATTTTGGCATACATTGAGAAATGTAGTAAAAGAGTCTTTTATTCTTTTCAGACTGCAGTATGTTAAATGATTTCCTCTTCCACCCTTTAGCCTTATAATTAAATTTAGGGCATCTCAGAAATTTTCTCTTATGAATGCCAATCATTAATTCCTATGTGTTACAATAGTTTGCTGCTTCTTTTCTTATTATGAGATTTAATGAATAGTTCTTGATTCCTGTGTCAGAATATTTCCTTGTATAGTTAATGCTTTTGTCTTTCATTTAAGAAACTATTGCCTTTTCTTTTTTTTGTGTGTGTGAACATATTATCCAGTAATAGTTCAAATACTACATGGTAATTTTTGTAAATATTCAAGGTATGTTTGAGAATACAGTGGTTCATTTTCTCTCACTGGGAATGGTCCACTGAGTCAAAATTGTATGTGACTGAACATATTTTAGGGTTACCAGACCTAGGTCCAGTTGCGCTTAGAATGGCAGCCAGTAAAACAAGAGACAAGGCATTAAGGGAAGCAAGATGACCATTCAAAAAACTTATTGGTGGGAAGTATGGTGGATGTAAAGCTCATCTTGCTGAGAGGCTGATTTAAGGGTGGTTTATGTAGGAGATGAGTGAAGACTGTGGGGCTTCTCACAGGTAGAGGTTTGTAGCCCCAAACATGGACATGTAATCCTGGTCAGGTATTTACAAGATGCTTTTCAGTTCTGCAAATATCAAGAACAAAAATCATATTTCTTCCTGCTGTTCTTGTCACAGATTAGTTTGCCTGTGCTGTAGTTCCTGATATTATAAAAGGTACAGTTTAGTGGGAAGGCTCCAGGGCTCTCTTGCTGGTCACCAAACTCGTGGCAATGAAAGAAAATATATTTCACCTGATTATTGTGAAAGACAAAGGTCAGGTGAGACAGGAAAGCTCTTTTCAATGCTCAGCTTTGTTACTAGCATAATCTCATTTGAAGTTCATTCCCCACTGTGTTAATGGAGTTACCAATTTCTCTGGGAATATCTGCTCTCTATGTTTTTGAGGCTGTATTATTATGAACAGACAGGGATACAGTTGTTGCATTGAAATTTTTCTGATATGTGTTGGCTGTTTCCAATCCCTTAGGTTTTTCATATTGAGTCTGTTTTTTCTTTATTTTCGCGTTGTATTATCTTTAATATTATTTCTTCCAATTTTTCAGTCTTTAGATGTTGCATTAGCAGATAACATACAGTTCTATTTTTAGAAATCTATTCTACCACAACTTTAATCAGTAATTGTTCCATTTACATTTATACTCATTTAGTTTCACTCTTTTAGTCCTTATCATTACTCTCATTTGTTTCACTCTTTAAAAAAATCCTTTCCTAACTATTCCACTGCTAATTTAAATGCTACCTATTCTGTGACTGTGCTTTCATTAATTGTCCCTTAAATTTATCTATATTTATCTTTATGCTCAATTTCTCAATTATTTTCCCAAATATGTTAAAAGCTGGAGCACACCAATTCATTTCATTCCCTTCTGACGTACAGGGTGTGACTGGAAAGGACAGTGAGGGAATAATTTGCCATTATTCCCTTATCCCCCCCTCATAATATTCCCTCTTACTTTCAACACACTTATCCCATTACTCTTGCCACTTTCTGAAGCAGTTCTTAAAGAGCTTTTTCATGAATGTCTTTAGTTACACATTATTATGGCTGACTCCTTGTCCTGAATTGTTACAAAATATTTATCTTTCATGGTCATTTTGACTTTGGGCAAGAATCAGAAATCACAAGGTACCAGATCTAGGTGAATAAGGGGAATGATGACACATTGTAATGGTTTTCCAAGCCTGTCTTCCCATTGGATGGTACTCAGCAGCAGCGTTCATCTTTTTTTTTTATCATGTCTTATAAAGACACTCATGAAAAGGGACTTGTAGAAGTGCTTCAGAAAGTGACAAGAATGATCGAGTGTATTGGGATTCTAAGGTTGAAGTAGCTACATGTCTTGTAAAATTTTTTATTTAAAACATTTTATTTTGGAATCTATTGTATACATTATTATTTGATATATTTTTTGTTTTCCTTTTGAACCCAATAAATTAGATAAAATTAAAATAACATTTAAAATCCTTTATTTCATTGCTGAACACCTTGTTCCTTTTTTCATTTTTTGTCTCAGACCCTCCAGTTTGTGTTATGGCGGTTTTGAAGTATATAATTTCAGAAATTCTTTTAAGATACAGCTCATTGATAGATAATGAACTTTGTTTTCATTCACATAAAAACATTTTGCTGCTGAAAGTATTTTTTCAGGTTTTGAATTTTAGAGTGCAATTATTTTCACTCCACTTTGTGAGCATAACCAAAATCATTGTGTTCTAGTTTCTGTAATTGCCATTTGAAAGTATTTTTACCTCTTGTTTCCTGTTAAGTGAGTTGCCTTTTCTATTTGTCTGAATTTAAAATGTCTGCCTTTGGACAAAAGCACAGTTGTACCTTATGCTAATTGTGGGTTTAATTGATAGGAATTACTTCTGGTCTGTACATTTGTGTTAATTTGTATTCCTGGAAAATTCTCAACCATCAACTTTTCAAAGTTTTAAAAACTTTTACGTTTTTCTTTTGGGTCACTGGCCATTTTTCAGGTAATTATTTTGCCTTTTATGCTTCTTATCTGTTCTTTTTAAATAGTGTTTTCTTGGCTCTCATTCAGGATTATTTCTTCAGGTATTTTTTCCAGTTTGTACTTCTGGTAGCCTCTAAACTTTCCAAATTCCAGGTGAAGTACTTGTTTCTGTGTTGGTAGTCTTCAAATAGCTATTGTCTGCTTCCTTTTCCTCTTCCTCTATATTTTATTTACCATCAACTCTTTTGAATTCAAGCTCTTGTTTATCTGTTATGTCTGTGGAAATTTTTCTTGTGAGTCAAGCATTGCTTTAAAATAGGATTCTTACCTTTCATTTAGTCTGAGAGCAAGAATCCAGTATAGAATAGGTACTGTAGGGGTATTTTTTGCTTTGTTTTTTGAGGCAGGGTCTTGCTATGTAGTTCAGACTGGCCTTGAACTCACAGTGACCCTCCTGCCTTAGCCTCCCAAGTGCTGGGATTACAGGCATGGGCCATCATACCTGGCTGTAGTATTTCTCAACTTACCCATTTAACATTATGATATTAAGTTACTGGTAGACTTGTGTCATTTTTTGTTTTTTTTTTTTTTTTTTTTTTTTTTTTTTTTTTTTTTTTTTGAGACAGGGTCTCATTACATAGTACAGGCTGACCTTGAATTCCTTATATACCCCATGCTGGCCTCAAACTTTTTCCCAATGCTGGTATTGCAGGCATGCACCACTACACCTGGATCCTTGTGTATTTTATGTTTATTTTTCTTTATGTGCCTCAAGTACAGTAGATAGCCACTTAATGTATGCTGCAGGATTTAGGGTCATGGACTTTTCTTTTTTATAGGATGTATATGCCAACATATTTCAAGTTTGTTATCTTTTTCTGTATCTATCTGATTTTGTTACTCTCTTCCTCTAGTGAATATGTCAAGTTCTTCATTATATATTATTTCTGCCTCTTAGTCTAATAGTATCAATTTCAGTAGTTGTTAAAGTAAGAGATTATCCCTATAATTCAGAGGGTGCAAAGTTTCAATACTGGGATAATGAAAAAAATTTCATTTTCTGTTTGATAATTGGTTTCTAATACTTTCTGAATATTCAAATTCTATATTTTATAATGTTATTTTTCATTTGGGTATTTGAAAGATGTTTCTTACTTTAGCCATGTGAAACTGGTTGTTAGAGCTTATTTTAAAGATCATTCTTAATTTTTAATTCTTTGAATTTATTACCTTTTTAATGTTAAAAAGAAAATTTGAAAATATTTGACTATTTTTTCACCGTTTATAGTCATTTTATTGTGATGAATTTTGAGTCTAAATATATAAGCATTTGAGTTTGTATATAAGAATATGGTTTATTCTGCCTTTTCTTATCATCTCAGACAAAGAAACAGCCCTGGTATAACAGCACATTAGCATCAAGAAGAAAACGACTGACTGCTCATTTTGAAGATTTAGAGCAATGTTATTTTTCTACAAGGATGTCTCGTATCTCAGGTACACATTTAGAGTTTCTCTTGAAAATATCTCAAATTATATTTCAGATCAATTTCTGGGTTTTTAATGGTAGATTTATGGAGAATCCTAGTTGTAATGAAAAGTGTGTTTTTGACATAGTCTGTCAGAACACTGTGGAGGTTTTTAAGATCTCAGAATATTATTTTACAGTTGTAACTTGCATTCTCTGTTTGGGAATTTTTAATTTTGATATATGGCAAGCCATGTAAGGTCAGAAAATCAGCCACAATAACGTAGCAATCACAAATAAGATTTATTCAGTTTTCTGCTTGTCAACATTAGTTCTAAGCATTTTCCTTGGTATTAAGAATTAAAAGCTAATGGTTCTTACTGTCATCTAGTGGGGAAAGCAACAGGTAGATAATAATTCTATGTGATATTTTTGTATTATAAATATATAAAAGAGATTATGAAAACAGGAAAAATATCCACTATTATAAAGCTAGGATGGAAAAGTCCAGGACATGTCGAAAATGAGATGATGTAAGGGAAGGATTGATGTAGAAAATTTGGGGGAATTGTATTTAGTCCGGGCTAGTATGAGTTAACTGCAAAAGATAGTTGGAAACATTTTCATATTAGTGAAAATAGCATATATGAAGACACGTACGGGACAGTACAGTATTTTTATTGCTTTAAGGAAGTAAGAATTCTCTGATCTTTAACCTTTCTCAGTATCTTTGCTCATCATGAAGCAAAGACATTAATACCAAAGGGTTCTAGGTGATGTAGAGCACAGTGCTCCGTATGTTAGGTGCTCAGTTAATTATCACCTCTAACACACTTGCGTGAAATGAAGAACAAGTGAAAAAAGCATTTTCTATTTTATTGGCTATTAAAAACTTGGCCCTGGTTGAATGAATATGTCATATCCATACTTAGATCTTTTGGATAAATTTGCCTCAGACTTGATGATAGAGGAAAAAAATGTGTTAGATTTATGTAGCATTTTTCTAAGAAGATAGTAGGAAAGGCAAGACTTACTTGGCAAGTATGTTTAAAATTAATAATAAATACTTTCTGTAGATGTAAAGCTGACATTTATTGCCTGGAGGTTGAGTCCCTTATTAAATGTTTAAAATTATCTATAAATAGGAAGTCATTAAATTGAAGATGATCTGAAATCTGCATTCTGTTCATCATGTTAACCCTTTCAGATGTTATTTTGTGTTATAATTTTGATACATAATAGGCCAACTGACTTTTTTTTAAAGGATATCTGAGGTAGGTAACATTTTTTTAATTAGATGATTTAATATTATGAAGATCTTGATTGTCCCTAAGCAAGTGTACTAAGTCAGTGCAATTCACATCAGAATCCCAAAATGGTTTTTATATGATTTGTCAAGCTGACATTAAACTAATAGGGGAGAGTAAGGGATGGAAAGGACCAATAGCCAGGATGATTGTGAGGAATGCTATAATTCTTTCTGTCCTCCTCCCCATTCTTGATGACACATACATACTGAGATACAAATATAAAATTATAAAACAATATAAACAAATAGACCAATAGAATCTTAAATACAATCCTATATTTCACCTGATATCACAAATCAGGTATTACATTAATATAGAAAAGTTTTGTAGATAATCTAAAACCTTACAAAATGTTAAAAAATGTAAAATGACTTCTTCTGTCTCTTAACAACTTTCTGCTTTGTTTAGTTCAAAATTAATAGACACTGGAGTCACTGACCTAAAATGGTCTATCTGGCCTCATCCCTAACCCTAAACACCCACTTCCTGTGCACTAAAATAGATAGCTAAAAAATAATCTTAAGGTAAACTCCCCAACTGCAAAAAAATGTTACATCTGGGTTAAAGTTAACTATCTTGTGACCATGATGTAAACTATGAAAATAAAAGATAACCAAAATAAAGTCACGGCTGTAAAACCCTATATAAAAAAGAGTAGTAACCCAGTATGTCATCTATCCAAGCACTGCTTGTGTGTGATCAACCCTTGTCAATGAGTAAATTTGTTATTTTACTTTGATTCTGCTGCCTCTCTGTCACTTGCAAATTCCTTCCACAACATTAGTGGAAAAAAGACAGGACATTCAGTGAAGCTGGAATAATTGTGAGATCCTTACACTTTACTGTATCTACAAAATGAATTCCAGGCAAAGTTAAATATGAAAAAAATAAAATCTTCACAAAGAAATATAGAAAAATACTATTATAACACTGGACTAGCAACAAGTGCTACTGCATGATTATACTAATATTTTATAGAGTTAAAATTGTATCTCTCTTACTACCTTCTATCCACTTAGAGAATTGTAGCACATATACACAAGGACATTTCAATACTTCTTAAATAGTGAAAAGGAAGAAATAATCCAATAAATAGCCAGGTGGGGTTTGGTTATGCTACAAAATTCAGTTATTAAAGTGAACTAGATCCACAACTAGATATACTTCCAGACACACATCAAAAAACAAGAAAAAACAAAGTATAGAAGTAATCATTCTATATACCATTTACTTAAAACTATGAAAAGAAATATACTATAGATTGTATACAGATACAGGTATACGCTCAAGGAAAATATCTAGAGGAAGAATATATATATCTGGGAAGAGTAATCAAAGGAAAACAACTTTGTATGTATGTAACTATAGTAACATATCCTTAGAAAAGACATTTAAAACAAATAGAGCAAAATGGTGACATATATAAAAGCAACAGCACAGTGATGACTTGAATATATGTCCAAGTACTGAATTTTCTGTTTGAAATATTTCATAACTTAACTTTTGTAAATACTACTGTACTGAATGATTTTTAAGTTAGTTGATCTTAGTTCTCATAGCACTGATTATAAACTGTGCGTATGTGGCCCATGTTTTCCATAAATTGTTCAGTCTGAGGATAATGGCCTCAGCAAGCATGTCACCCAGCAGAAACATTTTATTAAATAAGTATCTGACAAACAACTAAATAGACTTCTTCCTGTGAACTTCCGCACACGGTACTTAACATTACTCAATTACTAATGTAACCAAATCTCCAGCTGCTCTAATCTTGTTCTTTCCTGTCCAAATAAGTTTCTTTCTTGTTAACAATTCTATCTAACGTCTTCTGTACATTTTCTGGTGTGTTTTACTATTCCAAAGAACAATGACTATATTTAGCTAACCTTCATAAAAATCTTTCCTAAATATTTTGAAGCTCATTCTAGAATTTTTTCCTGAATATATTTCCTAAAAAACACTTAAACTGTTTTTAAAACTCCCAACTTTTGGTTTTTTGTTTTGTTTTTTCTTTCCCAAATGAGTTCTTCCTTTAATTCCTTTCCTTAAAGTAATTTCCACTCATTCTGCTGGCCTCTCTATTTCTTAGCTTTTGGATACAAACAGAACTTGAGATAATTTCTTATAAAATTTTCATGTACCTTCAGAATCCAAAATTAACTTTTTATAAAAGATAATTGAGTAGATTTTAGAAAGCTAGGTATATAATTCAGTACAAACAAGTAAATAAAATGCCCATTTGGAAAGGCACTCTATACAAGAAAATGTGATATGAAGGTTTAAGAAATGTTAATGTAGTAAATTAAGAAATACAATGTGTACAAGTAGAAAAGATTCTCACATGAGTAGTCTGACAAGATGTTGTGTGGAACCAAAGCAGTCATCGTGTCACAAAAAGTGCTTGCTACTAGTACTGGCAGAATTTTTAGACACTTGCAGATAGTTGGGAGGATCCAGTAGTGGGGAGGATAAGTTTTCTACCTGTATATGCTACATATCTGAAGGGGAGGGTGGACAGCTGCAAGAAGAGCTTCCAGGAACAGAGCCAGCATATACGGGCACTGGGCCTGGGCAAGCTAGGGAAGAAACACAAAAAGATTTCTTTATTGGAACTTGCTCAAGAAAGGGGTAGCTAAAAAATGATTAGTTTGTGGAGGTTTCAGTCCATAATCAGTTGGCTCCAAGGCAACAGAAGACAGCAAAAGCAACAAGGAAAATGGATAACTTTATTAATAATCCTTTTGTCCCAAGCAGGCTAGGCATGCTGCAGAGTAGTAAAGGTAGTCCCCTGACAACTTAAAGGGGAGGGGGCTTGTACTACAGGGGGGTTGAATAATAAGTTAAAACTAGGAAGAAAATTAGGTACATTATATTTGTGTGCTCATATCTGTATTATACTTAAAGCATGTTGTCATTAATTTTCAGAAATCTTAAAAGATTCTTATCAGATTGGCACATTGGCTGTAGAATCATATTGCTGAATATGATGTACCTTTTCAGTTCCTTTGAGAATAAAGGAAATTTTAACTTGCATCTAGTGTGATCTGTAGAAGGATTGTCCTTTGTATATTTCAACTGAGAATCTACAAATCAAACCCCTTGACTGTTATGCCCAGTTTTGAAAATGAGAGCTGCGTATTAAGAAATTAATGACTTAAACTCTTTAACTGAAAGAAATTTAAATTATAAATCATTTAGAAAAAGAAAACACTTCAGGAGAGTTGATATGCCAGCAGATTTATGTGGATAATGATCATAAAAAAAATATTTTGTGTAAGTAAATAAGTGAACACTGATTGCTATACTTTCAGATATTGAAAGCTTGTTTTCTTAATGTTGAAAGTTGACACTAATGAGCTTGTATGATAGCCAGAAGCCCATTTATCCTCACAAAGAATTATGTTTTTAGCAGAATACACATTCTTGATTATGCATTCTTGAAATTGAGGTCAAAATGTGAAAGAATAGATTAACATTAAAACAATTTCTAAATGAATAAACTGTCCTTCCAGTATTTAAATTACATTAAAAATTCAGAGTAATAGGAGTATTACATTAAAAATTCAGAGTAAAAAGAATCAATTAACTGTTACATCCAAACCACTCTGAAGTTCAGTTGATGGTTGGGTTTTTTTCCCCCTCTTTTTACAATCACATTTTATTAATAATTTGTTGAATTTTGAGAGAACAGTTTTTGTGGTGCAGCTTTATCTCAGTACCATTACTGTTGCATGCTAATTAGGTTATTCCTTTTGCTGTTTTTATAATGAAAGCACTAGTAATTTGAATCCTTTTAATAGGGTTTGTAGATGAATTTGCTTCATGTTTACATCTTTAAATTTTGTAAAATGTCAGGGACGACAAAAACTTGAATTTCTTTTTTTTAATAATTCTTGAATAATTTTCTTTATGTCGGTACATTTTCAAGATAATCTTACATTCCAGATAAGAACTTTAATCATAGCATCATATAATTCAGCTTAATGATTTTATGATATTTGCATCTTAATTTCATTATGCCTACTGTTACCTTCAGGCTAGACATTTAAGAAGAGAAATCAAAAAAGTTCACCTTGAAAAAACTATGTGGATGAGCATAGAATAAAGAACTTACGAAGACTCTTAAAACACAGTTGTTTCAATTTTCAAATAGAAACCTGAAGCAAGCGCTAACATGCTGTTTTTATCCTTTGGAAAGGAAAATATAAGTTCACACCTTTTTTTCTGTAGGAGGCACTCTCGGGAGAAATGGGAGCCAATGCAAACATTCTTTAAGTTTGTTTCTGAGAATCAGTCATTTTATTACTTTTAAAAATTCCTTTGAGACATTGTGAAATACCATGGACCAAAATTTTTATTTGAATTTGCTTTTGTTTAGGGTTTTTGTGTTTTGAGATAATAAAGTCTTGTTGTGTAGCCCAGGCTGCACTTGGACTCCAGGTGATCCTCCTGCCTCAGCCTCTTGAGTATTGTTTATAGGCATATAAACACTGCACCCTACCTAAAAACTAATACTTATCTAAAATGTGATCCAAATTTTGTTTTGGCAATAAACACGGACATAACTATCCCTGTAAATACATTCCTTTAAAGTAATGAATACCTTGTCATATATATATATACATTTGTATGTATACATATATATCCTCTATCCCTGCTAGTTCTTTCATAAGAGATTTTTGTTTAATAAATGATTTAACTTCTTTCTACTAGTGTTCTTTTACGGTTTTTCTCAGGAATTTTTGCTAAAAACGTAAATTTAATTATATTCTTATTGATATTGGAAGAAATGGTAACCTCTTGAATTAGGGCTAGTTATTTTTTATAAAAATTGAATGATCGTCTAATCTGAGCATATCGGTCTTTTCTAAAATCTTTTTTTTTTTTTTTTTTTTTGGTACCAGGGATTGAACTCAGGTCTTTGTGTTTGCAAGGCAGGCCACCAAACCACTGAGTGAAATCCCCAGCCCTAAAATCTTTTAAAATAATGTATTTATAAGATAATTTTTAATTTGTGGATATTGGTCTTTTCTAACTTTGTAGTATATTTCATCTCTTTTTGTATGTGTGTTCTTCATGTAGATGACAGTCGAACTGCAAGTCAGTTGGATGAGTTTCAGGAGTGCTTGTCCAAATTTACTCGATATAATTCAGTGCGACCTTTGGCCACGCTGTCATATGCTAGTGATCTTTATAATGGTTCCAGCATAGTCTCTAGGTAAGTACTGAGAACGCTCCTATTTTCTTTTGTAAAAATACCTAGAATCTAATTGAATTTGAGAAGTGTGTCATTAAAAGCCTGGGTTCTGAAGTTAAGTTGCCTACTATTTCTTAATATTGTGTCATTGGGAGATCTTATGAATCTCCTTAGTCCTAAATTTCATTTGTAAGATCATTAGAAGTATCCATTTAGTATTGAAATTTTTTTTCCTGTGCTATCTGTATCTGGTTTTCATGATAGATTATGTTGTCCTCATAGATGCTCCCTCCTTTTCAGTATTCTGAAATTTATATAGAATTGATGTGTTTTCTACCTTAAATATTTTGTGGAACTTTGTACTGGAGCATTCCAAGGAAAATTCTGATGATAAATCTAACTTCCTTAAGAGATTTAGAATTCTCTCGGTTATCTATTTTTTATGGATGGAATGTTTTAAGAAATTTGTCCATCTTCTGAGTTGTTGAATTTATTGGCACACAATTTTTCATACATCCTCATTACCCTTTTAATATATTTAGATTCTCTGATGCTGTCCCTTTCTCATCCCTGATTCTTTTACTTTTTTTCCCCCTGAACAGTCTGGCTTACAAGTTTGTCATTTTTATTGAGTGAGTTATTGGTTTTGATGTTCTATATTTCTGTCTTCAGTTTTACTGATGATTACCTTTTTGCTTTGTTGCTTCTGCTTTCTTTAATTTTAATTAGTTCTTATTTGCTAATTTTTTAAGGTAGAAACTGAGGTCATTGAGTTGGTAACTTTTTTCTGTTGTAGATGCCATGTGCTATAAATTTCTACCTCTAAGCATTGCATTAGCCTTTAGATACATCAGACAAACATCAATGTGACTTTATCATTTTTATTCAGTTCAAAATACTTCTTGCTTTTTAAATTTATTTTTAAGATTAGTTTTTTAATTGTTTGTCTTTTGTTTCTGTTTTGTGATTTTCTGAGATAGATAGGGTTTCACTATGTAATTCAAGCTGGCATTGCATGCCTTATGATCCAGGTGCTGGGATTATGACCATGTACCACCATCCTCAGTTTAAACTATTTTTTTTTTTTGGTACTGGGAATCAAACTCAGGGCCTCAGGATTGCCAGGTAGGCGTTGTGCCTCATTCCTGGCCAGTTTAAGCTATTTTTAATTTTAAATTTCTGTTTAAAATTAGATAAAATTATTTGTGGTTTTCAGATAGATATTTTAAAGTATATGTCACTGTATTTTAAAACACAATATTTTGTTTCTTTGACTTTTGTGTTACTGATATTTGGGCTATGTAATTAACCTTCTGTTACTGATTTATCTTCACTGTTGTCCTTAGCAGGGGTGGGTGGGGTTGGGGTGGTATTGAAAGTTGAACTCAGGGAGCTCTGAGCTATATCCCCACCCTTATTTATTCCTTATTTTGAGATAGAGTCTCATTTAAATTCTCCAGACCACCTTCAGACTTTAAAACGTCTTGCATAAGCCTCCCAAGTATATGGGATTACAGGCTTCAACTGCCATGTCTAGCCCTTCAACATCATTTTGAGCATCATTTTTTTAAAAGTTTTTATGAAAAATTTTAATATACATAAAACTAGAGGGAGTAGGATACTTCTTATAACCATCACTTAGATTCAGTGATACTTAACACTTTTTTATACTTGCCTCATTTGTCCTTTTCATTCATTCTTTGTTTCTTCTTTTTTTTTTTTTTTTTTTTTTTTTTTTTTTTGGTACCAGGGATGGAATTTGGGCCCTTTGACTTGTGAGATAGGCAGCAGAACCACTAAGCCAAATCCCTGGCCCTCATTCTTACTTTCTTTGCTAGCTCATATTCAAACTTTCTAGAATAAATATACTTTAAAAAGTTATTTTTGAAGCACATCAGGAATTTTCAAGTTAAATTTCTTGTTTTGTTTGTTTGTTTGTTTAGCTGGATCTACCACTAAGTTTCACCCCATCCCTGGCAAGTTTAACTTATAAAAATAACATTACTAAAACCTTGCCTGATTTTCATTTGCTTAGCCAAAATTTTTATTTATGCAAATGAAGATTAATCTTGAAATCTAAATCTTTAGCTAGAGAGACTATTGTGGGAAATCTTTGAATGCATTAGCTCAGAGAAGAGTAAGACAAAAATCATACATTTATTTGTTTTTATTTTAGCATTGTGTTAGTTTTAAGCAGTACACTGAATAAAATATAAAAATAAAGAACATTTTGGGGTCCATTTAATTACATAATTCATTTATCAGAAATTCATTGTCCATCTAGTGTGGACTAAGGTAAGTGTAACACTGAGGAGGCTAGGCATGATGCTTGAATCAAGAGAGCTCACAATCTTATTTTAGTGCCTTTTTTGATAAGAAATAGTATATGAAACAGTTTCACTTGAAGCAGCAAAGTAACATTGCTTAAATCCTTAACTGTTGTTGGGAATGTATTGATTAAGCCTTCAGAAATGTAGTTTGAATGTGAAATGGCAAAAATAATTATCAGTGGTTATTTATAATGGCAACTTATGTGTATACCTCTCTATATGTGACTGTGGTTATACAGTTATACCCAAGCTAAAATGTACCATGTTAGGCGCTCTCTTATAATTCTTTTTTGGTTTTTGGTTGTTGTTGTTACTGGAGATTGATCTCAGGACCTTATGCTTGCAAGGCAGGAGCAAGTGCCACTGAGCTAAATCGCCTGCCCTGAGGAGCTCTCATAATTCTCATCAATGCCCTTTACAATTTTGAATTTATCTTTTCTTTTCCTCTTCTTTTAAAGCTAAAAGAACCTGAGCATGGTGGCACATACCTGTAATCTCAGCGCTCTGGGAGGCTGAGGTGGGAGGGTCACAGATTTGAGTCGAGCTTGGGCACCTTGGTGAGGTTGAGCATGAACTTCAGTGTGAAAGTTCTGGTATGTTCACAGGAGAAAACAAAAACAAAGCAAACAAAACAAAAAGCCCACAAGATTAAAACTTTCTTCTTAATGTCATATTATAAAAACAACATTTCTACTTACATGGGACTTTTTTTAGTCTCTTCTAGTTATAAATCTCATTTTTAAAATTTTTTCTCCATGAAAGCCATTTTAACAACATAATCATGAATTTTAAAAAATACTAATAAATAATACATTTATATGAAAGCACTATTATATCTGAAGCAGTTTACTGTCCTTAGTAAGCCTAATTGAGAGTTTAGACTGGGAATATCATAATTCAAAGTAAGGTTAGTTATGTTACAATATTTCAATTAAAATTAAAATATTTTAAAGTACCTTTAGTTGGTCCATCTTGCCTCTTAATATCTATTCTTTTCTCTGAGTTACATTGAATTAACATTTCATCACCAAGGTGTGAAAACTTGAAGATTGTTAGGCAGTAAGTTAAAAAAAAAGAGGATGATATAGCCAGAAAATTATGGAGCTACTAAGCTTTCACACCTCTGGTTAGTGTCTACATTTATATTCAAAATATTGCTAATAAATTCATTCTAAAGGATTTAAATTCCCAAACAAAATAGGAAATTTAATGAATTTTTTTTCAGGAAAAGGATAAAAATTGAAAAAACTGATAATACTGAATGTAGTGCATTAAATAATAGAATAAATATTATTCTTTCTGTAAATTGCATGAAATATATCTCATGTTGATATTTACTGTATAGAAAAGCTTCACCAGACTGGTTGAGTTTTTCTTCCTATTAGATTCTGATTCTTGCCACACTGATCAGTCCACAAGGTGGCAGCATTTGTTTACTGTATCTCAATTATTATCTTGCCAACATGGTATGGAAATTGGTGGCCTATAGTGAAGTATGTCTTAATTACCTAATGTTTTAGATTAATAATGACAAGTGATTGTACCCTTCTTACATGAGAGTTTGCATTTTGTTTTACATTAGATTTTCAGTGGCCACCAGCAAGGATTGTTTTAAAACTGCAAAATTTAGACTTAGTAATGATGGTTGCTTCTTGAATTCCTGGTTTGAAGTTTATATACATAGGTTGTCATAGTCAAAACTGTTACACACTTCACCTCATGAAATTTTAAAACATGTTTGTCTATGTTTGCTCAAATCATTAAAATTATGTTGTATCCATCAGTAGTAAATTCATGAAAAGAAAATATTGGGGCATTCATTATTGCTAAATCAGTCACCCCGCTGGTGTATAGTACAGTGTTTGATTAGCCTTTTTAGACACTACTCGTAAGGATTTTATGTGACTGTATAGACTTCCTTCTAGGATTTTATGTGATTGTATAGACTGCCTTCTAGGAGAAGGCTTTATTACAGAGTACAACTCCTAAATTGAAATAGGGGCTAGAAAAGTCTTTTGACTTTGAATGAGTAGAGTTTTATGTGGTTGTAAAGAATCCAATTTTATTTCTTCTAGTTACTTAGATGAACTAGAAGTAGGCTTAACCTTATTTAAATGAGATGAATTGAATTTACTTGAAATTACTCTTTCTGCATGGCGCATTGTAAATACTAAGTAAATGTTAGTATTCTTACCCTTTCATATTCACTGTCCTTAGAACAGTGCTCCAGAATCAGCTGCAAGGTTTGTTAAAATAGGATTGCTAGGCCTTCATCCACCCCAGAGTTTCTGATTCTTTTGTGTATGCTGGGGCCAAGAATTTGGATTTCTCACAGATTCCCATCTTATATTCATGTTACTGTTCTGGGGCTACTCTTGAGAAAACCGTGACCTTAGATTAAGAGCTACAAAAAAGAAATCTGCTTCTAATAGAAAATATTTATAATTTTAATTTTTAGGAGATGATCAGAGTTTTTCTTATTCAGTGAATTTTACTTATTTTGGGTTGCAAAATTGGGAAGAAGGAACAGAGATTTCCGATATACCCTTGTCCCCACTTGTGTATAGCTTTTCTGGTCATCAGCATCCCCCACCAGAGTGGTATATTTCTTACAGCTGACAAGCCTACTTTGATACGTCTTTATTATCCACAGTCCATATTTTATAGTAGTGTTCACTGTTGATATTGTAC